GCTTCCTCATCTCTGGTTGGATCATGGAGTTGCTGCATTCTAGCCTGTACCGTTGTGGGGATGGGGACGTAAGTCCAGGGCAGACAAGGCTGCACCATGGGGTCTCAGCACTGAGGTGCTCCTCAAGGCCCGTCAGTGGAGAACACACCTGGGACCTATCAGAGCAGGGTGCTCAGAGAGATCTGGGTGCCTCCAATGTAGCTTGAGTTAGGCTGGAGCCAAAGGGCAGACCCAGAATCTTCTGAGCTACTCCCTCCTATGTTACTCCTCTCAGGAGTCCCTTCCTGCCTTTCTGTTCCACACCAGTTAGGAGATGCTCATTTGCAAGCAATCAGGATCTTTGTTTGTTTGTTTTTTTTAAATCCTTAACCCAGATAAGTTTTTATTGAGGAGAGAGAGAGAGAGAGAGAGAGAGAGAGATCTGCAACCAGGTATGTGCCTGATGAGGGATCAAACCTGCTACCTTTTGGTGTATAGGATGACGCTTCAACCAACTGAGCCACACTGGCCAGACTAACCCAGGAAGTTAAAACCAGAAAGAATAACAGGTCTTGTTCTAGTTCAAGACCTCCCTTTAATAGGTGAGGAAATGAAGGCCCAGAGGGATCAGGGACCATTTTTTGGTCTCCACCCAAATTTATTAGCTCAACTCTCCTGTACTGTTCCCTCCCTGGACTGGCCTGTAGGATGTATCACTGGATTTCTTCTATCATCCTAAATAGGAAAAATGTCTGCTTGGCCCCAATTCTGGCAGGCTAGAGCCTGGGTGCCTACTAACCCCTGGGTCACAGACCAAAGTCAGGTCTGGAGGTCAAGGGTTTGGGACCTATCTTCATGACTGACTGCTTATTTATTATGCAAATTACCCCATCTGTAAACTCCCTGGACCCTGACAGAGAACTCTGCAGTTGACCTCATTCCCCACGGGTTTCCTGACACCTGCTTGTGGTAGAGGGAGGGGGCTGGGAGAGGACAGAAGGCCTAGGAACCAGGCCTTGTTAAAAAGCAGTTCTAAGAAGTCATCCATACCTTTCTCAGGCATTTGCTCTCCAGACAGAAATCCTCAGAGAGACCAGAAAAGGGAATTGGTTCTGCGGTCTCACGGTTAGTGTTCTGCCTGAAGCAGGAGTCCCGGAATGCCGCCCTGGGCCAGAGCTTCCTACCCCCGGAGTGTTTGCAAGGGCTGCTCCCCCTCACTAGACTTGGCTTTTGTTTATCTACCTGTACCTCTCATCCTTCTGATGAATAAGAGGATGATGATGGTGATAAAATAGTAACAGCTGCCATGTATCCTGGCCTGTTTAAGGGGCAGGCACTGGGCTAAATGCTCCAATACATTATCACATTGTACTGAATTAAGGGGAAAGTTGCCACAGGTCCTATAGTTGGTAGTTGGCAGAGTTGGAAATTGGACTCAGGCCTTTGTGCCCTCAAATCCTGTGTGCACACTGTGTGCAAATGAGAGCCCACGGAAAGTGCTTTGCGTTGTGCAGAACTGATTGAAGGAATGGGGAGGAATACTTCCACCCCGGTCATCAGGAGGCGCGCACCTGCAGCGCTAGGTGTACAGGCCAATCAACACCTACGCAGTCAGAAATGACATCTGGAGTCGGAGTTACGGGTTTGAATCCAGGTTCTGCCACTATCTTGAAAACCTTGGGAAAGTGAGTTAACCTTTCTGGACCTCGGCCTCTGGTTGTGAAGTGGGAGTGGTTCTCCCCTCACAGGACTGGGGTGAGGACTAAAGGAAGCAGCCCACTTGCCCAAAGTAAGGGGGCCGAGGGTTTTAACCATTATTATCATTGACTCTCTCTCTCTTTTTCAAAAATATGTTTTATTGATTTTTAGAAAGAGGAAGGGAAAGGACAGGGAGATGGAAACTGATGAGAAACATCATCAGTCGGCTGCCTCTTGCACATCCATCCCTCACTGGGGATCGAGCCTGGAACCCGGGCATGTGCCCTGACCGGAAATCCAACCAGTGACCTCTTGGCTCATGGGTGGATGCTCAACCATTTAGCCACACTGGCCAGGCTCATTGACTCTCTCTTTCCCATAAGCACTTGCTCCTTTTATGATGATGATTTTTCAATGCTCTTATTAATCTGGGAGTCCCTGTGCCTCCTCTCACAGTTTGATCAGAACAGGTTAAGAATGAAGTTTTGCTGACGGGATAAGAGGATTAGTCTGTAGCCCTTAAGGGAGCGGAGGAAACCGAGGACAGAGAGTGCAGATAAATCGTCTTACAGTCAAACAGCATGTCAGGGAGGCGGGGAGGTGGGGAGCTTGGCTTCAGAATCAGGCCTGGGCTGATGCCCGGCCATACTGTTTCCAGGTAGCGTGACCTTCAGCGGGTCCCCTTGCCTCCCCGCACTGCTGTCTCACAAGGTGGTCACCAGGATTCATGAAATAACAGAGGTACTCAGTCACTAAGTCTTTCTCCTTCCTCTTCTCTCTCTTTTTTTTAAATATATCTTATTGATTTTTTACAGAGAGGAAGGGAGAGGTATAGAGAGTCAGAAACGTCGACGAGAGAGAAACATCGATCAGCTGCCTCCTGCACACCCCCCACTGGGGATATGCCCACAACCAAGGTACATGCCCTTGACTGGAATCGAACCTGGAACCCTTTGGTCCACAGGCCAACACTCTATCCACTGAGCCAAACTGGTCAGGGCCAGACCCCTCTCTTGAACCCGGCCTCATCTCCCTGCTCCCCCGCTCTCCCTGGCCCATCTCAAGTCTCGGGCAGTCCTTTGGAAGTCTCACCTAAGCCAGCCTGACAAGGACAGATGGCGCCAACGTGTATGTGAGGGCCAGCCTTTGGGCCTGTGGATCTGAGTGAGAGGCTGGGAGGCTGAGAATGGTGGGGTAGGGCACCCCGACATCTGAGGCTTGGGGAGAGAAAAGGGGCACCGTGGGGGCTTGGGCAGCACAGGGTCACGGTTAAAGTTTGGGGGACTGGGTTGAAGCTGAGGCCTGGAGCGGGAGGAGTTCTTAGCCAAAGCCCAGGACAGGCACCTGTCAGGATGGTCCCCATGGCCTGCCCCGGGGGATGGCCTTGCCTAGGGCCCCTTGAGGGACTGGGGTGTCGGGCCGGGGCCGCCCTACCTGTGCGTAGTTGTCCTCGCAGTAATCAGCGACTCGCAACAGGGCGCTGTGGTTGCCCCGCAGAGCCTCCCGGCCCGTGGGGATCTCGAACTCCTGCAGCTGCTGCAGCTCTGCCATTGCCCCGGCTCTGCCGGCTCCCCACGGAGCTACTGGTTTTGTGCCTCACCCCTCCCTTGATTGGTCGCTCTGCCTCCCCTCTCTCTCACCGCTTTTGGTTTCCTCTCCGTGAGAGACCGAAACCTGCTTGCAAAGGGCAGGCATGCTCATTCCGGGACAAGAGGAAGTCAGTGCCTGCTCCCGGGGCCTGCGCCGTTCTGTCCCCTGCCCAGAGGAAGGGGACAGCCAATGGTCCCTTTGGGGGCCCAGCCTCCCAACCTCTCCCCGCAGAGGAAGTCAAGGTCGGGGCATCTGTGATTGCTCCCTGGGCCTGGAGAGGAAATTGTTGGGGGGGGGGGGGTGATTGCGGAGGAAGGGGGGTGGCCTGCTGGGGGGAGGGGGCGTGGAGACAGATTTTCCACTCATGGACAGGGAGGAAAGGGCAGAGGGTGGGGGCTTCCTTGGGAAGCTCAGGGATGAGTCACCAAGGGACAGCAGTGGAGGGTGGGGAGGATATGGAGACCAGTCGTGCCAGGGGCCTGGAGGGTGGCGGAGCAGCAACAACGAAAGACAGACAATGCAACAGTAAGAAGGATCAGACGGGACAGCAGGAAGATACAGCCAGAGTCCTCTAGGAAGTGTGTACAAGCCTCTGCAGGGCTCCAGGGGATGACGATGTGGTGCGCGTGCGCATGCTCTGTGCTCGATGGAGGCAGGATGAGGTGAAATGGACCAGGTGTAATGTGAGGGACTCAGGTTAGACAACAGGAAGGACTTGGCTGTGAGAAGCACCAGGTTCAAGATCCTGATGAACTGCTCGGGTTTAGGAAGCAGCGGTGGCTAGAGCACTGAGCCGGCCTTGGGAGGTAGGTGCTCTATTTCCTGCATTAACCGGGGGGTGGCTAGATGGCCTCCAGGGTCCTGTCCTGGTCTCAAATTCTTAGAAATCCTGGAGCAGGGAAAGTTAGGATGGATCCCGGGCCTCCTCCTGGCCCCTCTGAGCACCCAGCCTGTCACCCTGGACGCAGGAGAAAAAGAGGATCGCGCACCGACCATGTGGGTCCCCTAACATCTGCTCCTCCGTTGCCTTGTCATTGGACAGGCATCAGCCTGAGCAGGAGCTCAGTGTCTGTCACCTGGGGTGGTCCTAGGAGGAGACCAAGAGAAAGATCAGGATACGTGCCCCATGCCCGATGCTGGGGGACCGCTGAGGGAGACCCACACCCAGGCTCAGAGAGCATGGAGGCCTGGAAATGGGTGTTAGAGGTGCCCACAGCCACCAGCGCTAGTTGACACAGCATCCTATGTGAACACGTTATGGAATGAGTGAATGACGAGTGAGCTGGGAAAAGATTATAAAGTGAAATTGTGGGGCTCCAGTCTGGGACACAAAGGCTTCTTGGGTGAGGAAAGTTAGGAGCTGCTCTAGGACTTGCCTCGTTGGGGAGAATCGCCTCAGTGCAGTCTCAGAGGTAGGGGAGGGGAGGCCTTGGGAGAGGAGGCAGGGGGAGGATGTTGTAGTGTACCCCACAAACCACACAGGACACCTCAAGAAGTCGAATTAAGGAGCCACATTTATTTCAAAGCCGGGACTCCGAGGGGGCAGATGCTCTCCAAATCTCGTAGTACCTGAGTGAGGGCGGTAGCCATCTTATCAAGGCAAAAACCACATCCTACTAGACACTGGAATGTGGAATTATCTTGTGAAAGCAGTTTTACAGAAGCAGAATTGAGCAAAGTTAATAATCTTTAAAGGTGATGCATTAGTTTCAGCTCCTGGAGCCACCGAGTCACCAGAAAGGATTCCCGGAGCCACTGAGTTAAGGAAAGCAATTTTGTGGGGCTGGTCCTCAGACACAGGAGAGCAGCCTTTGGGGTGTGGGCTGGCAACAGAATGGGGTGACTTATGTGAGTTTCCAGGTCTCAATCTGGAAACTGAGGCAACTACCCTATGGTTTAGGCAAGCAGGTGTACAGAAGCCAGAACAGCAGGGTTAGAGTTCAAACAGCCGTTCTTACCTGAGATGAATGTAACTGTGCTTTATTGCTTCAAGGGGCGCATGTAGGGCCGGAGGGTGAGGACTGGGGGGAAAGGCTCTAAGCCAGGGGGGGCGCTAAAGGGGTGGAGCTTATGCAGGGGGCAGGGAGTCTGCTCTGGTGGCACTGAGAGTCGGCGGCTCAGGCCGATGGATGGGCTTAGAACCTTGAGCCTATGATCAGCTTAGGCATCAGAGGTTCGGGCTTCCAACCATCTGCTTTGTCCAAAGACGTTCCGCTGGAGAGAAGCTGGGAGGCTCGAACACCATCCTGTCTGGGTTGGGCACAAGCGACTCGAAGTGCACGCTCTTTCTTGGCAGGTGAGAGGGGCTGAGGCTGCAGTGGGCTGGGATCTAGTGTTGGAATTGTTGAAGTCAGGCACCTGACAGGCCTTTCTGATAACTGTGTAATGATGATGGTGATGATAATAGAAATAATAATCAATGTATTGTGTTCGCTACGTGCCAGGCAACGTATTAAAATATTTTAAAGGCATTATTTGTTAGTGCTCACACTACTCATATAAGGTAGGTACTATTATTATACCCATTTTGCAGAAGGGGAAACTAAGGCTCATGGAGGTTGAGTGACTTGCCTAAGGCCTCGCAGCTTGGAAGCAGCAGAGCTGGGATCAGAGCTGGAGTCTAACAGGCTCCAGAGCTCTTCTCCTAACCACTAGGGTTCCCTCTCCCCTGACAGGACCTGGAGTTCCTTAAAACTTCTGCCTGTGTAGTATGTGCAACAATACTTTGCTCCCCAAACCTCCCTCACAGGAAGAGACTCTTTTTTTTTAAATTTTACTTCAGAGAGGAAGGGAAAGGGAGAGAGAGATAGACATATCAATGATGAGAGAGAATCATGGATTGGCTGCCCTCAGCACACCCCATACTGGGGATCGAGCCTGCAACCCAGGTATGTGCCCTTGACTGGAGTCAAACCTGGGACCCTTCAGTCCGCAGGCCGCTGCTCTGTCCACTGAGCCAAACCAGCTAGGGAGGAAAGAAACTCTTTTTCTCTCCCTCCCCCATGCTCTGACTCCTGTTTCCTCCATAGACAGGTCCTTACCTGAGGACAGAGTGTGCCTCCCCCACCAGATTGGGATCATCCTTTCACCCTGAGCCTAGACTCATGCTAGAGGTGGGGTGGGGAGGATGCAGTGAAGAAATGGTGAGCAATGAGGGGCCTGAACTGGGGGACATGGCAGGGAAGAGGGTAGAAGTTGAGGTGCAGACAGTACAGAGGAGGGAGCTGGGGGAGCCCAGGGGATTTGCAGTTCTGGCTGCAAAATCCTTTCCAGGACCAGGTCTCTCTGGGGGACATGGCAGGGAAGAGGGTAGAAGTTGAGGTGCAGACAGTACAGAGGAGGGAGCTGGGGGAGCCCAGGGGATTTGCAGTTCTGGCTGCAAAATCCTTTCCAGGACCAGGTCTCTCTGGGGCGGGATGGCCCAGGAGCTCGGCGAGAAGGAGCTACTGAGGATGGAGGTGGAGCAGCTGAAGAAGGAAGTGAAGAACCCAAGAGCTCCGGTGAGCCTCCTCTTCCCTGCCCTGCTCCCTCTTCTCCATCCCTCCTAGTTCTCATGCAGCTGGAACTCGAAGGAGGAAGTGATGGACAGTGGGGTGGTGGGACCCCTCTAGGGCGGTAGAAGGAGCAGGAGGTGCCTCTGGGATGGGGTAAGGAGGCTGGGGTTGGACCCCATGGAGATGCACAGGACAGACCCTCAGCGCCTGCCCAGCCCTGGCTCTGGGTCAGCATCCCTTGCAGGTAAGTCAGGCTTTGTGGTTCTGGACAAGGACCTGCCACCCCTCTCACACCTGCCTGTCCCTCCCATGGGTCCACTCTCTGGCCTCTGTCTCCACCCCATCCAGAGCCGATTTGGGGGGGACTGACTGAGTCATGGATCGGGAGCAATAAACAAGGTTGGGACCTTGCTTTGCTTTCTCCCAGATTTCCAAGACAGGAAAGGAAATCAAGGATTATGTGGAGGCCCACGCAGGAAACGACCCTCTTCTCCAAAGCATCTCTGAGGACAAAAACCCCTTCAAGGAGAAAGGCACTTGTATGATTAACTGATGGTCCCAGGGCCCCTCGCCCTGACCTCCTGTCCCTCCTCAGCCCCACTGCTCCCCCAGAACCTGTCCTGGGACACCCAGAGAGTCAGTGAATTTCCACCTTCTCTCAGCCACAGAAGAGGAAAGAGACAGACCTGCTTCGGGTGGTCCTGGCGCTTTGCTGTCTGTGGGTGGCTTTGGTCAGGGACAACGTTCTGCAGGCGCCATCTTCTGGAAAACGCTGCTCTTGGGGGCAGTTCCTTCAAGGGAATTGTTGGGGAGGACAAGGGGTTCTACCCTGAGCTACTGGGGCTGGAACAGAAGGAAATGTGGAGGGGGTTTCAGAGGCTGGAGCAAGGGGTCGGGGGGACGAGACGGGGGGACAGGAGGGGTGGTGGCGAGCTCATAAGTGTTTTACTAAATGTGAGTTAAGTACCATTAGTGAGTTACGGAATCAATTCAGGAGATTGTAACCAACTTTTAAAAAGGAAAAAAATGTGAGTGTACAGTACTTTTACATGTAGTAAAGGTGAATATTGTTTCTTAAAGTTTTAAAAAATATATTTTTTATTGATTACAGAGAGGAAGGGAAAGGAAGAGAGAGTTAGAAACATCAATGATGAGAGAGAAGCACTGATTGGCTGCCTCCTGCACGCCCCACACTGGGGATCGAGCCCGCAACCCAGGCATGTGCCCTGACCAGGAATCAAACTGTGACCTCCTGGTTCACAGGTCCACGCTCAACCACTGAGCCACACCGGTCAGTTTATTTCTTAAACTTTTGTTTCAGTTTTGTGTATGTGTGTACTGGATTGTGATGTAAACAGGTGTCTTACCGAGGATCTTGGTAGAAACAAATGAACAAACAAAAAAAATGGTGAAAGCCACTGGATAAATGATGAGAAAGGTCCTGAGTGTGCGTGAGGATTCACAGCAGAATCAAACCTCAGAGCAGAGGGGAAGGCCACTTCTGTGGAGCCCCCAACTTCCACTTCAGTGCAGAACTCTTCCTACACCCCCACGTAGCAACGACCGTGGAGACCACCCAGGAGACTTCCAGGCATCAGAAGCTCAGAATTCCTCAAGCCTGTTCTGTTGATGGACAGCTCAAATGGTTAGAAAGTTCTTCCTGTTTGCCTCTCTAACATCCACCCGCGAGTTCTCCTCGGCCTCTGTGGCAGCCCCCCCCAAGTGTGTTTTCTTCCCCATGGAAACATGTGTTCTTTTCTCAGGAATCTGAGCTTCCTTAGTCTCCACTATCTTGGGTGTCTTTCTAGCAGTTACCAATGCTGAGCCGACCGTGGATCGGACGCAGAGAAAAGGACTTTTCAATGACCATTTTACTGATTCTTGCAACACCGCTATTCAAAAGGCGCCATAACTGTCCTTTTACAGCTAAGGCTCAGAATATCTATTTTTAATTTTTTCTAGCCTTATTGAGATATAATTGACATATGACTGTATAAATTACAATGATTACCATGACAAGTTTAGTTAACACATCCATGACCTCACACTGAAAAACGTTACAACTTCTGAACATTTAACTTTCGTACCCAACTGCACCCAGAAGTTAGTGGCTGGATGAAATTTATCAGTGTCTCTGTGTGATGCCTGGAATGGAACCTGATCCGCCAAATGCATCAGGCTGCTCAGAGTAAAGGATCTTTATCACGGGTCCCTCTCTGTGGCTTACCTTTTTTGTTTTTTATTTATCTATTTTATTTATTTAGTTAGTTAGTTAGTTAGTTGGTTAGTTAATCCTCCCCGGAAGATATTTTTCCATTGATTTTTTAGAGAGAATGGAAGGGAGAAAGAAAAACAGAGAAATATCGATGCGGGAGAAACACATGGATTGGTTGCCTCCTGTACTTGCCCTGACCAGGGTCTGGGATTGAGCCTGCAACCTAGGTACATGCCCTTGAACGAAATCGAACCCACGACCCTTCAGTCTGTGGGCCAACGCTGTATCCACTGAGCCAAATTGGCTAGGGCCTATGGCTTACCTTTTCACTTTCTTATTGGAGTCTTTGATAAGAACATAGAATATTATATTAATTCTAGAGGTCTGGTGCACAAACTCGTGCATGGGTGGGGTCCCTCGTCCTGGCAGGTGATCGGGGCCATCTCACCCAGTCCCCATTGGGGCCACTGGGGTTGGCCAGACAGCCAGGCAGCTGGCCTGGGAGAGGGGCTGCAGGAGGTTGGCTGTGGGAGTGCACTGACCACCAGGGGGCAGCTCCTGCATTGAGTGTCTGCCCCCTGGTGGTCAGTGCACACCACAGTGACCATAGGTCATAATGGTTGCTTAGGCTTTTGTATATACAGATGATGACATATATCAAAATTTTAGAATCTTCTGTGTCAATATTTTCCCTACTCTGGCGTCATGAAAATATTCTCCTATATTGTTTTCCAAAAGCTTTCTTGCTTTTCCTTTCAAAGGTCTACAGTTCACACAGAAGGTATTGCTCTGCTTAGTGTAAGTTGGGAAGAATCTTTTCATATTTTTCCATATGACACCCATTGTCCCAGAATAATGTATTAAAAAGTCGGTCCTTTTCCCCACTTCCCTTTGTCATATATCACTTGTCCAAGTATGTGCGGGGCTGCATCTCTCTTCTGTTCCATTGGTATGTTTGCACCAGTAACCTTGCACCAGTATCATACTATCTCAATCCCTATAGTTTATAGTTGACAATAAGCTTTAATATCTGATAGAGCAAGTTCTCCCACCTTATGCCTATGTACTTTTGAGGCTGAGATGGCTCATACACACAAATCCATTTGAATCTTTAAGGAGTGTGTGGGGCGGGATGGGGCAGGGTGCAGAGAGGCAGCTCACCGGAGCGATTCAGAGCAGTGCCAGGATCCTCTCTGTTACCATGGCATTTTCCCAAGGGACAAGAATGTATAACCACAGTACCAATCCCCCTGCAGGGAGATCACACATGCATCATCGGCCCTTGTCACTTATCCCCGAGGAACAGACAGCTCTCAAAACCCAGATACCAATCCAAAGAAAACAACACGACATACACGTCTTTCCCCTGCCCTCCCAGAAGTGCACCCTTTCCTGCAAATCACCTGGGCCTGGTCAGCACCGAAAACCTGGATCCAGGACAGACTCCTCAATAGATCTCGCTGAATCCTGTTGGTAAACCCTGTAGAGATCCCTCCCCCTCTCTTGGGAGAAATCATGCATGGAAAAATAAGATGAGAAACAGACAGCAGAGATGCTCCGACCCGCTGAGACAGACTGAAGAACCGGTATGCTCAGGAAGGAGTTTTTGTTGTTTGTTTGTTTTCCTGATTGAAAGACACAGTGTGTGGTATAGTTAATATAGTCAACAATATTGTAATAACTGTGTATGGTGCCAGTTGGGTACGGGGAAAACCAGGAGGAAGGAACACCTGTAATGTATATGATTGTCTATGCTCTACCCGAAACTAATACAAAATAAAATGGAATGTAAACTGTAATTGAAAAAAGAATTTTTTTTTTAAGAATCTAAAAGAAAACGATAGAAAACCTCACTGTCCACTGCCTGAATAACAGCCAAAACAGACACACACACACACTTCAGTATCGGACCGATTCACAGCCAGACGGACGCCCAAACCCTCGCCTCGCTCCCCAGCCCGGCGTTCCTTCCTGCGCCCCTCGGCTTGGCGGCGCCCGTTCGCCCGGCGGCCCCGGCTTATACAACAGAAATGCACCGCACTCTGCACACTGGCCAAGAGGAGGAAGGATCCCCGGCAGCTTTTGGGGAGAAGGGGGGGTCTCCCAGTCCCGAAACTGCCGCTGCAGCCCACCCGAAGCAGGACCCCCGGAGGGGTCAGGTCCCTCCGCTGTCCCCTCCCGGGTTAAGTAAACGTGTGTCGGTCTCCCGGGGACAGACATTGACTTTTCCGCCCCGACTCTCACGCATGCGCACTGGGACCCTCAGGCAAGCGCCGAAAAGAAAACATCTTGAGCGATGGGGAGGGACCCTAAACTGAGACCGGGCAGGTCATCGGGGGCACGGCGCAGCCCGAGGTGGCCGCGGCCGCCAGCAGCCCCCCAAAACGGGAGTTGGAGAACCAAAAGGTTCTGAGAGGTCCCACCGAGATTTGAACTCGGATCGCTGGATTCAAAGTCCAGAGTGCTAACCATTACACCATGGGACCCGCTGGCTGCTCTAGGCGGCCATGAGTCTTCTCAAACCATATAACTGGGGGCCGAACAGTCTTCCCAGAACCGCGGCCAATGTCGGGTTCACCTGGCGTGGGCGCTGGGCCCGAGGTCGCAGGGGCGAGCGGGAGCGAAGCAGCGGGGGCCTCGGCGTCCCGGACGTTCCCGGTCCCGGGGTGTTCTGTCTAGCCGCCACTCTCCCTGCTGTCCTCGGGGTCCTGGCCGGCGTCCGGGGGAAGTCGGAGGGCGGGGAGCCGGCGGGGGCGCTCTCGGGGCGGAGGTGGGATGGGGGCTGGGAGCCCTGGATGCTGGGCGGGGCTGGAGGCCGGGCAGGCGGCTCCAGCTCCCAGCTCGCCAACGGGAAGCTCCGCGCCGCCTCCTGGGCTTCCTGCTTGTTTGCTTGCTTTATTTACACACGTGTGTCTTGCAGGGAATATTTTCGCTGAGCTCGGAGGGACCACAGTTCCAGGCCCGAGCGCGCCAGGCGCGCATTTTGGAGCAGGGGCTGCACCCCAGCTGGTGCCTGGAGCTCCACGCGGCTGGACCCAGCTGAGTTCTGCACGGAAGGTTTCACTTCCAGTTCCGGGTGTAGCTTGTAAAGGTACCTGGTAGGTGTTTCCTTTTAACCTGCAGGTTACCATCAGCTCAGAAACTAAGTTTTACTAAGAGCAGAACTGGGTACTGTTCCTTCAGGCCAGTCGCGCGACAGATAAAGTTTTGTATGCCGTTCGATCCAGCTGTTTTCGTTTTGGAGCTTTATCCACGGAGCTCCTGGGACAAGTGCCAAGTGTGCAGGACGGTCCTAGCTGTGTTGTTTATAACAATAAAGAACAGAAGCGAAATGTCCTTTAAGTGAAAATTGATTAAATAAATATCGACTATCAATACAGTAAATACTGTGCAGGAATTTAAGGCATAGGTTATTGTATTATCATGGGAAAAAAAAGACGCAGGCCTAAATAAACCAAACAAAAACTAATCTACTTACCAATTAGTATCCTATATAATAAAGAGCTAATATGCTAATTAGACCAAACAGCAGACCAGCTGTCCAGACGACCTTCCAGAGGAAGCTGGGGCTGCAAGGGGCAGAGCCCTTTGCATGAATTTTGCGCACCGGGCCTCTAGTGTATAATAAAATCTCACGTATACAAACAGAAAAGCTGTGTACCTATGTCATAAACAGTTGCCATTTATTTGCTCTGTGACCTCTGACTCCCTTTCTTGAAGGATCCAACATTGTGGGCCTGGGTGACACCAGGGCTGTCCCCCAAGATGTATTCTCCAGGCTTCTGGTAGCCAGCGTGAACGTGTGTGTCCTTAGCTGGCCAACGGGACTTAGAATCCCAGAAGCAGGGACGCTTTATAACTTGTCCCAAAACACGTGGAGGGTCACAGGGCCAGTGATG